GATAGCAGTTGAGAAGCTCCAGGAAGAAGCTGAGGAGAGGAAAGGGCATGCTATCACGGATGCCTTTCAGAGAGTGCCAAGAGGACAGAGATCTGCTACAGTGCCAGTGACTAACACAAGAGCAACTACATCAGCACCTGCAGCCACAACATCAGTGCCACCTCCAGTTGCCACTCCACCAGCTCCAACAACTTCTACAGATGCATTCGTCCTTGGAGTCCTCTCAACGCCTCCTCCCGAAGATCAAGCCTAGAGAGATGCATAGCACTATGCATTTTCGAGCTTTTTGGTAACTTGTTGCCAAAGGGGGAGAAAGTGTATAGATCATAGGCTGAGAGAGAGAGAGAGAGAGAGAGAGAGAGCTTTGCTTCTTTTCCTTCTTTGTTATTTGGTTGATACTTATTTGTGTGCTTGCTTGAATGATACTCTATGTTTCTATGTGTGAGATACTCGTTTGATCATGTGTTTGATCATATCATACTTTAATGATTGTGCCTGAATGATGCTATTATTTATCTCTTATGTATGATCATTCACTTTGCCTTGGTGATGAGTGCATATTTCATATTCTATCATTTTGCGCTCCACCAAGATGTATGTGACATGAAAGAGTAACCCATGATCCTAATCGACTATGCACTTGCATTCACATACTTCTCAACGCGACGATGTATTTCAATCGTATTATCATTTGTCGAAGCTTTGATCAATATGTTGTCATCAATTACCAAAAGGGGAGATTGAAAGTGCAACTATCCCTGGGTGGTTTTGGTAATTCCTAACAACATATAGCTCATTGAACTAATGCTCTTTCAAGATGACCATTTCAGAAAGTTCAATGATTGGCATGGCATGGACTAGGAATGTAGACCCCTCAAAATGCTAAGAACACATATTGGCGAAAGCTCAAGACTCTACATTTTCATTTTAGTGATCCAAGATCACATTGAGTCCATAGGGAAATCAAATACTATTAAAAGGGGATGAGGTGTCAATTAATGGCTTGCTTGCTCAAAATGCTTAGTGATATGCTCCAAAAGCCCTCAACCACTTTCTCATATCCACATATGTCCCAAACCAAAAGTCAAACTTGGCCCCACCGATTTGATCTATTCGGCGCCACCGAGTTCATTTGACATAGCCATAGCCAGAAATCCTAATCAGTTCGGTCTCACCGATAGGGATATCGGTCTCACCGAGACGAGATTGCAAACTCTCTGTTTCCCTTCATAACATTTCGGTCTAACCGAAATGAGCGATCGGTCCCACCGAGTTCGCAATGCAAACCCTCTGTTTCCTTTTCGTACCATTTTGGTCTCACCGAAATGAGCGATCGGTCCCACCGAGTTTGCCTATTACAGAAATCGGTCTCACCGAGTTTATGTGATCGGTCTCACCGAGATTACGTTATGCCCTAATCCTAATGAAATGGGTCCCACCGAGTTGACATGTCGGTCCCACCGAAAAGCCTAACGTTCATATTTTGAACTGAATCGGTATGACCGAGTTTGTGTATTCGGTCTCACCGAGTTTGGTAAATTGTTTGTAACGATTAGAATTTTGTGTGGAGGCTATATATACCCCTCCACCCATCCTCCATTCGTGAAGAGAGCAATCAGAACGTGCCTACACTTCTACCATTCATTTTCTGAGAGAGAACCACCTACTCATGTGTTGAGACCATTCTATTCCAACCACAAGAATCTTGATCTCTAGCCTTCCCCAAGTTGCTTTCCACTCAAATCATCTTTCCACCAAATCCAAATCTGTGTGAGAGAGTTGAGTGTTGGGAAGACTATCATTTGAAGCACAACAGCAAGGAGTTCATTATCAACACACCATCTATTACCTTTTGGAGAGTGGTGTCTCCTAGATTGGTTAGGTGTCACTTGGGAGCCTCCGTCAAGATTGTGGAGTTGAACCAAGGAGTTTGTAAGTGCAAGGAGATCACCTACTTCATGAAGATCTACCCAAGTGAGGCAAGTCCTTCGTGGGCGATGGCCATGGTGGGATAGAAAAGGTTGCTTCTTCGTGGACCCTTTGTGGGTGGAGCCCTCCGTGGACTCGCACAACCGTTACCCTTCGTGGGTTGAAGTCTCCATCAACGTGGATGTATGATAGCACCACCTATCGGAACCACGCCAAAAATCTCTGTGTCTACATTGTGTTTGCTCCCTCTAAACTGCTCCCCTTACCTTCATATGCAATGATTTACATTCCGCTGCTATACTCTTATACTCGCATGTGTAGGTTGATTGCTTGACTTGTGCTAAGTTGCTAAAATCTACCAAGACTTAAAATTGAAAAAATGCTAGATTTTTATTTGGTCAAGTAGTCTAATCACCCCCCCTCTAGACATACTTTCGATCCTACAAAATCTTATCAATCGAAAAGTATTCACTCTCCAGCCAGAGACGATGTTCTTCTAGGCTGCGAGAGAAGTGCTCTAGCAGAGGAGTCAGCTTTACTTATTCCTCAAGTAAAGTTGCCATTCAGGCTTCCTCTGGGCTTCAGGTCCTTATTGGAAACATGTCGGTTGGGCATCCTTTGGGCTTCAGGTCCTTATTGGTCATTCCAATTCGGGATTGCGGTGGCTATAAATAGCCAACCTGCACCAACTAAGATGGTTGGTAGCTCTGCTTGAAATTTTAAGAACATTGATTAAGCACCCCTCTCTGAGCGATTTGAGTAAATCCATTGAGAGAAAACCAAGAGCTAGATAACTTAGATTGTGGTCGAGCATCAGAGTAGATCTAAGTTGAGAGTTCTTGTGCCTATTACTCTTGAGAGCTGCTAACTTTCTAGATGTTTAGGCGTCTGCCTGAGGAGCAAGAGTAATTATGGTCTCCGTAAGCAAGCTGTGTTAAAGGTTTGGAGATTGCCAATAAGAATCTACCCCGAGTGAAATTTATCTCGTGTATTTAATCACAAGTCCCTCCAACTAGATATAGCTCGTCTGCACAAGAGCGAACTGGTCACCAAATCATCTGTCGCCATCGAGCACCCGTGGTTACTTTTGTGTCCGCATTTATCTTTAGTAATTTATTCTCGGCTGAGATATATCTGTTGTGTTGTTCTTCGGTACAATTCCATCAGGAATCATTTAAGCATGTCTATCATTGTTGTAACCATGTCGTGTTGTATATTTGCAGTTTTCGTGCTTAGGGTTGTTTGTCTATATTTTCGTTTGCTCTATATTTGATGCCATCTAGTCATCCAACTTAGCATTTCTCTCATGAACATCCCTCGGTAGTGTGTATGTTTTTCATCTGTGTTGTGTGTATTGTTTTGTGTATATAATTCTATCGATGTTGGTAATCTTGTTTCCATTCCTTGTCTTCGTCATAGATCTCAAAGTATTGTGGTTCTATACCCGCAAGATTATCATCTCCTACATATAGTCGCTCGTCTAGTCTATCTGTTTTGTCATATTTACTTTGTAGAGTAATTTTCTTTCAGAGATTTGTTCTCTCTTAGTTTTATTTCCGTTGTCTTGTACCGAGAGATTTCAAGTTTTGAAAGAAATTTTAAATCTCTCATTCACCCCCCCTCCGCCGTCTGGTCAATATACTCTCGATCCTATACTTTTGCTGAAGGAAGATCTTCTATTATCAGTTCAAGACTCAAAGATGCTAAGTCTACGGTTATGAATGACTGGATTGACATTCTTATTTGATCCATTAGATAATTCCTAGAAGTGAAATTAGTTGAGTGCCTCTTGTTCCCTTTTGTTTCATTAGTTTACTTTTCCTAATTTTTTTCTCCTTTTCTTTGTACTTGGATTGACTTTATTGTTTTATTATAATAATGAGTAAAATATAGCAGAACGGTTGTTCTACGGCCAGTCTTCAAAAGAAAACCTTGGAAAAATAGTTTGAATGCAAATAGATGTGATGTGATTGTATTCACGGCCGACAATTAGTTCGAACCGCATCCGGGTCTTAAAGTAGATAACTCATGTTCGTGTTCATGGTATCATCAGCTATGAATAGAGAGCTGCAAGTGCGTGTACAATCGCGCTATCACTCAACCACACAAAGCCATCCTTTATCCGAATTCGGTTACTATGAATAGGAGGCCGCTAAAAGCTCACCGCATAATATCATCCATATCCAATATCCAAATCAGTTTACTATCAATAGTAGTGGTCTAGCTGCTCGTTCAGCTCGCCCAAAAATTTAGCACCTGCGTACAACTAAGCATGCTTAGCAATTGTGCAGATAAGCACAACAGTGGTTTTCTTTTGCCAACTCGTTTAAAAAAATCTATTTATGAGATCAAGTCGATTTCCAAACCAGCACCACGAATTAACCTTCGCGAGAGTTTCAAAATTATTGTCGTGGATTTAGTTCAAGGAATGTAAGGAGTAGAAAATAATCAAAAAGTAACATGTGAGTAGAATCTACTCTTTTGGTATCTCTGTGTGTGGCACTTAGTTCGTCGACGTGGAAGGAAAGAGGTGTACCACCAGACGAAAACCGACCGATCACGGTTCAACGGTGACCCATCCGGTTGCCACTACTCGCTGAACGTGGGGGCCTCAACCTCATCCATGACCAGAAGAAACTGCCACGAGTCCCCGAGTGTTTACACCCAGCTCTCTCTCCCACACGTGGCGTCTCCCTTCCCTACCCCTACGGGCGCGTGAGTTGTGAGCCCCAATTTATCATCCTTATCCGGTACATATCCATCCTGTGCAGCTGCGAAAAAAAAAGAAGACGAGAAGCTTCTTGACTACGTGGCGACCATCGGGCGCCCCATCGATGCGTCGGACGACTGGTAGTAGTCGGCGGGGGACATTTTACCAGCAAAAAGGGAAGAAAACGCGGCAGTTTTTTTACTTCGCGTTGCTTGCTTTCATCCGTGGGCCTCCTTTTTAAAAGGCGCTACTTTTCTTCGCCGCTTCCAATCCCCCCTCTCTCCTCTCCTCTCCTCTCTTTGCGTTTCTTCCCTCTCGGCTTCTCCTCCTGTGTTTCCCTCTCTCTTGACGGCGAGCGGCTATGGCGACGGTGCAGGCGGTGGCCAAAGGGACCCTGGTCTCGCCGTGCGGCAACCGGGCCGCAGGATTTGGTGCCCGGCGGCGCGGTGCCGTGGCGGCCCGCATGTCGCCCTGCGCGCCGGCGGCCGTGCGGATCGGCAGGAAGAGCCCGTTTCTTGGCGCTAGGCTCACGGTCGGTCCCAGGAGATCCAAGCTCGTTTCCCGGAATCTAGTCGCCTCACCGGTGCAGGTAAATTTAATTTTCCGCTCTAGTTTATTCATTTTTCTGTTGGCTGCGATTCTCTTTTGATCGTCGGTGCCCTATTTTTTATTTTATATTGCTATATATATTTTCCCTGACTTAACCTGTTGTCCGCGATAAATTCGCTGATATAGTCATTCTATCCGAATCTCATCCGCATGCAGAGTTGAACACCTATATTTGACTTTCTGCTATTTTGCAACTAATCTCCGACTATTGTGGTGTGCGGGGCCAATATGCTGAGCCAGTATGTTCTGTCGCAGATGAATCTTGCGTTTGCGAAATCCACCAAGTGGTGGGAAAAGGGTCTGCAGCCCAACATGAGGGAGATTGAGTCCGCTCAGGACCTCGTCGACTCGCTGGCCAACGCCGGCGACAGGCTCGTCGTCGTTGACTTCTTCTCCCCTGGCTGCGGCGGCTGCCGTGCCCTCCACCCCAAGGTGAAAATCATGGCTGCGGAAATGTTGATAATACTACAGTTCTGAAGCTCCACCGTCGTGTGATGTAAAAATTTGCGGTGTTCTTAAATTATTTTATTTCCCTATGCAGATTTGCCAGTTTGCGGAACAGAACCCAGATGTGCTGTTCTTGCAAGTGAACTACGAGGAACACAAATCGATGTGCTACAGCCTCCATGTCCATGTTCTGCCCTTCTTCAGGTTCTACCGGGGAGCCCAGGGCCGCCTCTGCAGCTTCAGCTGTACTAACGCAACCGTAAGATACTAATCTGGTCATGTGCCCTTTCATGCTCCTGTGAATTATAGACCGCGAGAGGAGTCAGAAACAAACAAACCATGTTTTAAGTTCCAAGAGATCCTCCCAAACTTACCTATCAAGGCTTTGAAAGCCTTCCATATAGCGTTACTTGGAGCTTACTGGTAGTGTAGGGATCGAAGGTCTTTCACTGAATTTGAAGGAACATATTATGGTCTCATCTTATTCTAGACGTGTAGTCAAGCGTATGATTTACCATTTGATGAGATGCTTACTATGGTGGCAATTGTCTTTTCAGATAAAGAAGTTCAGGGATGCGCTTGCCAAGCACAATCCGGATAGGTGTAGCATTGGCCCAACCAGGGGCCTCGAGGAGTCTGAGCTGCTGGCCTTGGCTGCGAACAAGGACCTGCAGTTCACCTACACGAAGCTGCCAGAATCAGTTCCGAGTGGAGACTCCGAGGTCATTGCTCCTGGGAGCCCAAGGCTTCCTCCACCGGCAAAACCATTGGTGCGGCAGGGCTCCGGAGAGAGGACCTTGGTCTCATCAGGAAGATGAGATCGCGTCCATTGGTTCTGTACAGTTTCCCGATTGTTGTTGGTGTGTACAGGTTGTACTTTCTCATGGTTGTGTAGAGTGCAGGCTTGATAGATTTTTACTACTTGTCAAGCCTGCCTTCCCGCCTCTCCGCTAGAAGCGTAGAAGTAGAAGCAGTACTTTAGTAGTACCAGCAAGTATTGTGGGTAATCCTCTGCCAGTAAATTGTATGGTAGCTGTATGGGTTAAATCTGAGTGCCAATTGGAATTATCGTGCCTGCCTTGTTCCCCTTTAGTAGTTTTGCTTGTTCGAGAATCTGAAATTCACCGCCTGCTAATATGTACTCCCTCACTTCAAAATATGTGTCGTGGTTGTAGTTCAAACAGGTACAATCCTTTGGTGCGTTCTTGCATTCCCTTCTGCGTGGTCAGAACTCAGGAAGCAGGTACATATAGCTTTCTGTGGTTTGAAGCAGGACTTCTCTTTTCTAGATATTGGAGCTGGGCTTTGTAATCGGACAAAATGGGAAGGGGGCGAAAGAAAGCATTTGAAACTTAACAAGCAAGGGACAAGACCTTGTGGTTGCTCTCGCTTGAAGTGAAAAAAAGGGTGGTCCTGCCGAGCTAGATCGAATTGTTGAACCATCAATTTTGTATCGCGGGGATCTTATGGATGATATACATTACTGGGAAAATGGTGGGTATTACCAATTGGATGAACATCGTATGCCCTGTCATATGATTGTTTTGCTAGGATAATAACAGGAACAAGAAATGAGGAAGCATGGGTTCAGAGTATACAATTAGGCAAGAACATACCATATCATCAAGCGTATGCACATTAATTTTCGTTATTTTCTTCTCCTTTCCGGATGCACAATTGCATATCCTTGTCCACACGGCTGGCCTCCGGCTTTTCTTATCAAACGGACAAGGACCATAGATCTGGCTGGAAGACTTGTGGATTTCCCATCCCTCGAGTGTGCATCACTCTTGTCGGCTATAACAGGTGTGCCTCCCTTGGCTTCTCGAAAGATTCAGCTCCCTGATAACTGCGATTCTGGAGCCTTCCTCCCGGCTCGTCGAAAACAACGGCATGTCGACGCCAGCTACGTGGCAACGCGCTGGGTTCCAGTTGAAACGTTCATATTCTGGTCGACTGCACCTGTTGGTCTGGTTATCTGCTGTAGCAATCTCCACGTCGCAATACATCGGAACCTGGATTTTGTAGGTTTTGTAACAGCAACTCTAGCACACCCCGCAAAAACTTGACTTGCAAAACGCGTTTGCGGTTTCACGAAGATCGCGTATACGGGTCGAAAACTAGCGCGACCGAACATAAATCATATCTAATACTGCATAATTTGAAAAAAAATACTTTCACGGAAAAAATAGCACCTTGTTGATTTTACATGAACAACACACTACAAATATAGTTCATACTACATACTACGCTAATACTAGTACTAGAGGGGGTCGGATCTGAAAGCAGCGAGGTCGCGGCAATGGACGACGCCGTAGAGGAGAAGGACTGTAACACCCACGATGCGGCTATATCTCCTGTGTCGAAGCACGACTTAGAGGCATAACCGCATTGTAGGCATGTCGCAAGAGGGGTAATCTTTACACATCCTGTCGTGGAATTGTCACGGCAGATGTCCTTAGTGTCAGGACTTAGTCGCGAGGCCAACGCATCTATGTGGTAGCTTGAAGGGGTTGGTCGGAATCGAGAGAAGCAAGGCGGATCATCATACAAGACGAGGGTTTAGACAGCTTCGGGCCCCGGGAAACATCATCCGGTAATAATCCTACATGCTGTTTGTGGCTAGGTCTCATTATGCTCATGAGGGAGTCACCGCGTAAGCCGGCTCCTCCTTTGTGTCTAACCCTAGATATTGTTTCTTGTTGCCTGTTTTTCTCTGGGGAGCCCTGCCCCTCCTTATATAAGTTAGAGGGGCGGGTTACATGTGGAGTCCAAATAGGATTAGGACTAGCCTATCTTCTACTACAAGCCGGATACAAGTCCGGTTCTTGATTCCTTGTAAGGAAGATATTCCTCACACCTTTCCTCTTAAGCCGTCCTACCATAACGTAAGCCGGCCTTCTGGCCTTGAGCCTCCTGGGCCCCCGGGTCTTGTCGCTCCTCTGATCCGCTTGCCAGGTCAACCATAAGTCGCCAGGATCGGGCGGGTCACTTAGTGTGTCGTCCAGCCAGGGCGGGTCATTAGTGAGTCGCCAAGTCCGGCTGGGTTATACATCCAGTCGGGTCATACTGCGGGGTATATCCCCGACATTAGCCCCCAAGTTTAATTTGGATTTATCCATGTTAAACTGATCTGCAACATAAACACAAGAACAAACTGACAGGTTGTACTCCGGGTTAAATATTCTTGTAAGCCGGCACCTGATCATTTTTAAATCCTTGTCATTTCCTTCTTGATACGTGCCCATGTACTCATAGCAAATCTCCTTTAGTAGATATGTTCAAACTTTGTGAATGCAAAAAATCCAGATACTTCTTTTGAGAAATCCGGGTAAATAGGCCAGCTTCAGAGTCAATTTGCTGGCATTGGTCTCTTGTAGAGAAATATTGTAAGAAATAATCCACTTGAATCGGCTTTCAAAGCGCCGGCTTAAAACATATTGGTCTTGAAATACTCATCTGACTTTCAGCCGGCTTGAAGAGGTAAAACTTGCCGGTTTATCATAACCAAAATTGTCGGCTTGTAAATATTGATAGCACCGGGTCATAACTGTAGCCGACGCCGGGTCATAATTATTGGTGACACCGGATCATGATTGTTGCAAACACCGGATCAATCCGATCTGCTCAAAACTGAGAATTTGAACATATTTCTCCCTTATATCCATATTATCTGTAGCCCCCAAGGGCCGGTTTAATCAACATGAATAAGCTGGGACTTATCACCATGGCTTTAAATAAAATCCAGCTGTGTAGCCCCCATGAGTCGGCTATAGTCACAGTAGTGTAGCCGGGTCATTCTAGAATTGTCTCCATCAAAGAGCAATATGCATTAGCCGCCAAGTGTCGGGTCATTGTGTAATAATGAGCAGGGACTTTGTAAATATGATGATGTAATTTTGAGCAGTAACGTGCATTAGTCCCCAAGTGTCATGGTGCATGCTTGCAGTAACATGAGACTTGCATATTTGATGTAATCTCAATTTGAATAATGTAGCCCCCAAGTTCCGGGTTGTAAGCCTGCAGCGACTCGGGACTATTCCTTCCATTGTAGAATAAATCATATCCTTTGATAAAATAATAGCCATTGCGCTAAAGCAACTTTGAAAACTCAATAATATCGGTTATTAATAACCATAAAAATCCAGCCATGTTGGCTATTCAAGATAATATAATCCGGTATGAAAACCTCAGTCATTCAATATCATCATGAAAATCCAGCCAGGTTTGGCTATTTTAAAGATTCAAATACCTTATCTGTTGACAAGTAAATTCAGAGTCTTAAATACCTGGCGGCTCTTGGCCGATGACGACTTAATGCGCATTCATTGTAAGCCGGAATTTTTGTAACCCGGAGGCCTATAGCTCTTGAGAAAATCAATAATTGATAACCCTTTTGAGACACCAATTTCAGTGATGAGCTTGGACTGAAGCATTTGTATAAGTCATAATTCTGCAAATCCTGCACAAAATTTAAACAACATATGCCCTGGCGACTTAACATCAAGATCCAGGGCGGGTAACCACCCAAATGTAGTCTTACCCTGCACACGAGTATATCACAAGAACCCTTGGCGGTTTACCGCAGGGCGGGCCATAATACCTCACATATAACCACTGTGATATTGAATTTGTACTACCGGTTTACATGACCTGTGCAGTAAGGGTGATAACCCAATCTTTAGAAGCCAATGCTTCCACATAGATGATGATTGTCATAAGCCGTCGACTTATAGTCGAAAAGTCAAGTCGGGTTAAGTATAAACCACTTATATATATTTGAGATATAATCCCAAAAAGGTCTCAAGTTAAGTAATTGTGGCTGCAATAAACTTTACCAGAGATAGAATAAAACTTTTTGAGGCTTCTGATTCGGATATGATCAGTAAACCGTTCCAAAGGGGTTAAGCTAAGATTCGAATACGATCATACAGCCCCCAGTGGCTTTGGCGATGCCGATCAAGAGGGTATCGGCAGCTATGTTCTCTTTGGTTCGAATACGACCTATGTTTGAACAGGAAGCCCCCAAATGACCTTGAGAGTTGTTTAACGATGCTGATTCGAATACGATCCACGTCGATTCCCAAAGGGGTTGAGCTATGATTCGGATACGATCAAGAAGCCCCCAAGTAGGTTCGGCAGTTTGCCAATCAAAAGGGTATCGACATCTATGTTCTCTTTGGTTCGAATACGACCTATGTTTGAACAGGAAGCCCCCAAGTGACCATATAAATTTTGGCATTCGCCGATCAAGAGGGTATTGATAGCTATGCTCGATGAGCAGGAAGCTCCCAAGTGATCATAATAAGATAAGCCGTAAGGCAGGATACCTATGTTTAAACCGCGCATCATGGCAGCAAGTTTTTTTGGCAACCTTTAATTTTTCTTAGAACTCGAACTTGCGAGATATTAATTCTTTTTGAACCGGAACTTTAAACCGGATTTGAAAGCTTCAAAATTTTGTGAGGGACAAATTTACCTTGGGCCGGATTTTGAACCGGATTTGAGAGCTTCAGTGCTTTGTGGGAGAAAGATGTCTCTTGAACCGGATTTTAAACCAGAATCCTTATTTTGAGCCGGAAATCTTCTGATAGCCTTTAAATTTTCATCAATCTAGCAGTAATCTCTGGGGCCGGGTTATTTTTCCCTTCAATGACCCAGAGTTCTTAAATTTATTGAAACCGGCTAATTTTGCCGAGTCATACCATTGTAGCCCCCAAGTCTCAAGACGACTCGAGGAGTTGGCTTGAGATTCTCCATATTTAACCATAGCAAAAGGTGTATAAGGTTGAGGTGACTGCGGCGGGTTATAAATGAT